TAGTGGTAGAGCGTCCACCCGGAGAGCGGAAGGTACGGGGTTCGATTCCCGGCCGCGTCATACCAAAAGACGTTAAAAGATGGTACTTGTTGTTACCCTGTCTGGCGCTCGGCATTAAGGGGCTAAAACAAGGACTGGTCGGCTCGGAGTCAGTATACTGTGTCTGAGTGGGGTATTCATGTCCAACTGCTGCATGGTATCTCAGTGGGCTAGCACTATAGAATAACATAAAGACATAAAAATGAAATCAGAAAGTATTTCCAGCAGAATTACTGACTTTAGATAAAAAGTAAACTTTGTTATCATAACATGTTCCACATAAATGATTGATCTCAATTGCCACAAATTTATTAAAATTGATTTTATTCAGATCTGTTTGCAGCTCCTGGCGTGACATGGAACTACAATAAGAAAACGCTAAGTATGATAAAACATTATGTCAATCGCTATGACAGTACTTTAAAAAACATAACAATACACACTAAGAGTAAAATTACACTTATTACAACACTATATCAATATCAAGACTACATGCAAAACAGGTACATTAGTAATACGATTGGAAAGCTGCAATGTCAACAGCATGGATATAAAGTGTAGTGTATGTTAAATACTCAATGTGAAGGTGCCAAAAGTTTACAATTAATGTCCCAACAAAACTTAAAGATGTTTTAATCAGATTTGACTCGGTGAGACGTTAAGAGAAAGTGGTCTGAAATCCTATGAAACCTTGTTAATCTTGACTTTATGGATGAACGGTTTTTCAGGTAACATTTTGACATAATTATTATTCCCAGCTAGACACGGATTAAAGCAAGAAATATTATATTGTAGGTATTACAGAAAGACATACATGATGAAAACAACATGGTTCTTATAATGTGTTCACACTGACAATAACTCGTTAACTTCCTAAACATGACAACAAATGTACTGCTTTATCAACAACAACATATATAATGTAAAACACATTTACATATATTAACAAGAGATGTGTTTTGCAGATACAGACAACAACAGAAGCAGCCCCCTCACAAACAGTTCTAGAATTCTTCAGAAAGCATTAACTACCATCACATTTGCAGCGGACCGCCTCCGTGGTCTAGTGGTAGAGCGTCCGCCCGGAGAGCGGAAGGAAGGGGGTTCGATCCCCGGCCGCGTCATACTAAAAGACGTTAAAAGATGGTACTTGTTGTTACCCTGTCTGGCGCTCGGCATTAAGGGGCTAAAACAAGGACTGGTCGGCTCGGAGTCAGTATACTGTGTCTGAGTGAGGTATTCATGTTCAACTGCTGCATGGTATCTCAGTGGGCTAGCACTATAAATTGGCATCAGTCCGGACTAGTACAAGCAGGCACACACACACACACAGACACACACACACACAGACACACACACACACACACACACACACACACACACACACACACACACACACACACACGTGCATGCACGTCGCTATATAAGTGCAATAATCTTGGATGCGACGTTAAACCCAAGTTCACCTCACCTCACATGTGCAGTGTCCTACCATTACCGCTGGTTTGGTGAAATACATGCCTACTACAATCTCATACCAGATTGAAGTACCTGGCCTCGCATAATGGAGTTCATGGCGGCATTTCCACCGCAATGACATCACTTTTGACCTTTGTGAAACAGGTGCCCAATTTCAGGACAACTTTAAAAATCAGTCCCATACCTCTATAACTCCCTAGAAAGTTATATGTCCTTACGGTTGCATTATATTTTGGGAAATACATGTTATGTGCAGACAGACTTTAAAACATGCCTTTAGCAATATTAATGACAAAGTTATATGACATGACTTTCAACTTGAGAAAACACAGGACTCATGCACGACAACTGTAAAAGTCCAAAGCCCCCATCTTAATAGGTGAGGTGAGGTGAGGTGAAATTGGGTTTAACGTCGCGTCCAAGATTATTGCACTTATATAGCGACGTGCATGCACACAGTATACTGACTCCGAGCCGACCAGTCCTTGTTTTAGCCCCTTAATGCCGAGCGCCAGACAGGGTAACAACAAGTACCATCTTTTATCGTCTTTTGGAATGACGCGGCCGGGGATCGAACCCCGGACCTTCCGCTCTCCAGGCGGACGCTCTACCTCTAGGCCACGGACGCGGTCCCATCTTAATCTTCCGGTGACGTTTACCTTCATTGGCGGTCGCTCAAATCCTTACCAATTAAACAATTCAATTCTCGTCTCTAGCGTTTATAGGTATCATATTGCATCCTACTTCGGTGAACACTGCTTGAGCTATCGCGAAAACTTCCAGTGTATTTCATTGACAGTGAATTTGACGTTTACTATCAATGAGGCATTTCCAGAATGTTCCAAATGCCTATCCATCAACATATACCAAATATGGTTACCGCGATGTGACAAAGGAGAAATGTACATGCTTCTCACTGAAAGTAGTTCACGGTGACCTACTTCTGATATCATAAGATTGTCATCACTTAAAGTATTAAAAACAATATACCCACCTAAGGGTGATCTTGAACCTTGACATCACCGTGTCAAAACATTTCTCGGGGCTCTATGGGAAATATGCATGATACGATATCTCAGAGCCAACTGGTTTCAAAAACAAAGTGAGGCGGCGGTGGTCAATTTCAGGCAAAACCTCAAGGCATCCCAATTTAGATGAGGTTGTGTAACAGTGTGACGTGTCAATACCCATAAATATTTCAATTGTGAAATAAACCCATAGTTGAATTTTCACATTGTTATTCTGCCGTGTAGGATAGCACATTTAATACAATAACATAAGCAGCCAAATTACACTATATGCTAACCAGAATGTCAGTAATCATAACTAATTTAATAAAAGTTCCTCATTTAAAGTTCAATGTGTTTGGACGTCAGTTCGCAAGTGGGCGTTGTTCTCACTAACCCTACTGGATCCGGGCTTGTTGCATCCCAGCCAACTCGTCCAGGAAATGCGTGAAGTGTATGGGTTGACATCGACGTCTTTCCAGGTCATAACACTAATGTTCTTTAGGGTTGAGAACTGGGGATTTGGAAGGTCATGGGAGATTTGTAAACCTTTCGTTCTGTAGATAGTGAGCAGTGGCACGTGCAGTATGCGGCCTGGCATTATCTTGCTGGGACATTTCCCTCTGACGGTCAATAATGGGAACCATGTGATGTCGTACAATTTCCCCCCTGAAGCTAGTAATTGTTAAATTCCCCGGACGTACGCAAGGTTTCCTCTCTGCGTGTAGGATATGACCCCCAACTCCATGTCACTGTTTCATTTGAACGTCGATCTTCCATCACAACCCCGAAGCAAAACACGTGGTTCATCACAAAACCAAACGTTTCGCCAGTATTGCAGATTCCCGATTTGAACGGTGATCTATGGAGCAAGCAGTGATTAATACATGTTTGAGTGAGTGGGTGAGTTAATATTTAACGTCACACCGGCAATACTTCAGCCATATCTATAAATGTTTGAATACATTGCTGTTTTGGACAGACGGGTTGCACGTGGACATTGTTCACATGTCTTTCTCCATGACATGTTCATGTGTTTCTACACGACCTCACGCAGAAGCGCATTACAGTTATAAATGGTGGGGTTTGACGCGCTAAATCTTTCCGTAAACATAAAGAGGCATTTTGTTGCTAAAAACGTTATAATCTAAAACCATTTCTGAAAATAAATTGAAATTGGCTCTTTCCATATCACCTATGCGTTTCTTTCTTGGGAGTGTATATCATGTGTTCTATGTAATGCAAAATAATCTGTTAACCAACGCGAAGTGTGACATCAAGAGAATGGATACCCTGAAGTCGGACATAAGTAACTGTTTTGTTTTATGTCACTTCGTCCTGACGCAAACGTCACGTAGAACAATCGAAAATGGAAACTGATTCACCCAACTACTCAAATATTTAAGCAATATTCAAACGCAACAACAACAACAACAACAACAACAATAATAATAATAATATATATTGGGTCGAGTCTGTTGGTGACAGAGTTAAAGATGTGTGGGCCGAGGATGTTGGTGACAGAGTTGAAAATGTGTTGGCGGAGGCTGTTCGTGAGTTGAGGATGTACCTATGTCGAGGCTGTCGGTGAGAGAGTTGACGATGTGTAGGCCGAGGGTGATGGTGACAGAGTTGAAGATGTGTGGGCCGAGGCTGTTGGTGACAGAGTTGACGATGTGTGGGCCGAGGCTGTTGGTGACAGTTGAAGATGTGTGGGCCAAGGCTGTTGGTGAGAGAGTTGACGTTGTGTGGGCCGAGGCTGTTGGTGACAGAGTTGATGATGTGTGGGCCGAGGCTGTTGGTGACAGTTGAAGATGTGTGGGCCGAGGCTGTTGGTGACAGAGTTGATGATATGTGGGCCGAGGCTGTTGGCGAGAGAGTTGATGATGCGTGGGCCGAGGCTGTTGGTGAGTTGATGATGCGTGGGCCGGGGCTGTTGGTGACGGAGTTGAAGATGTGTGGGCCGAGGCTGTTGGTGACAGTTGAAGATGTGTGGGCCGAGGCTGTTGGTGACAGTTGAAGATGTGTGGGCCGAGGCTGTTGGTGACAGTTGAAGATGTGTGGGCCGAGGCTGTTGGTGACAGAGTTGATGATGTGTGGGCCGAGGCTGTTGGTGACAGTTGAAGATGTGTGGGCCGAGGCTGTTGGTGACAGTTGAAGATGTGTGGGCCGAGGCTGTTGGTGACGGGGTTTATGATGTGTGGGCCGAGTGTGTTGGTGACAGAGTTGATGATGTGTGGGCCGAGGCTGTTGATGACAGAGTTGAAGATGTGTTGGCCGAGGCTGTTGGTGACGGAGTTGAAGATGTGTGGGTTGACGCTGTTGGTGACGGAGTTAAAGATGTGTGGGCCGAGGCTGTTGGTGACAGTTGAAGATGTGTGGGTTGACGCTGTTGGTGACAGAGTTGATGATGTGTGGGCCGAGGCTGTTGATGACAGAGTTGAAGATGTGTTGGCCGAGGCACAGTTGATGATATGTGGTCAGAGGCTGTTTTTAACAATGATGGTCTTGTATTTAAATGAATTTACACACGACCCTGAACAGCAATGAATGCGACTTGAACACTGCTGTGTTTGTCCATTGTGATTCTGATTGCGTCTGTGGGGACCGTCAGCATCTGTAAAGAAAACATCGCGGTATAACAAGGTGAATTGTGACAGATGTTAACTTAACTACTAATGGTTGACTTGGACCTGTGTGATGAAAACGTCCACAACTCAGTCCCTAGGGTTACACATGACTATGTGACAGGTCGATGTACAGTGATGTAGACGTCCCCCGTACAGTCCCTATGGTTACACATGACTATGTTACATGTCGATGTACAGTGATGTCAACATCCCCACTACAGTCCCTAGGGACCACACATGACTATGTTACAGGTCGATGTACAGTGATGTAGACGTCCCCAGTACAGTCCCTATGGTTACACATGACTGTGTTACATGTCGATGTACAGTGATGTCAACATCCCCAGTACAGTCCCTAGGGACCACACGTGACTATGTTACAGGTCGATGTACAGTGATGTAGACGTCCCCAGTACAGTCCCTATGGTTACACATGACTATGTTACAGGTCGATGTACAGTGATGTCAACATCCCCAGTACAGTCCCTAGGGACCACACATGACTATGTTACAGGTCGATGTAGAATGATGTAAACATCCCCAGTACAGTCCCTAAGGACCACACATGATTATATGAAAGGTCGATGTACAGTGATGTAAACATCCCCAGTACAGTCCCTAGGGTTACACATAACTATGTTACAGGTCGATGTACAGGGATGTAAAAGTCCCCAGTACAGTCCCTAGGGACCACACATGACTATGTTGCAGGTCGATGTGCAGTGATGTAAACGTCCCCAGTACAGTCCCTAGGGACCACACGTGACTATGTTACAGGTCGATGTACAGTGATGTAAACGTCCCCAGTATAGTCCCTAGGGGTTACACATGACTATGTTGCAGGTCGATGTACAGTGATGTAAACGTCCCAAGTACAGTCCCTAGGGTTACACATGACTATGTTACAGGTCGATGTACAGTGATGTAAACGTCCCAAGTACAGTCCCTAGGGTTACACATGACTATGTTACAGGTCGATGTACAGGGATGTAGACGTCCCCCGTACAGTCCCTATGGTTACACATGACTATGTTACATGTCGATGTACAGTGATGTCAACATCCCCACTACAGTCCCTAGGGACCACACATGACTATGTTACAGGTCGATGTACAGTGATGTAGACGTCCCCAGTACAGTCCCTATGGTTACACATGACTGTGTTACATGTCGATGTACAGTGATGTCAACATCCCCAGTACAGTCCCTAGGGACCACACGTGACTATGTTACAGGTCGATGTACAGTGATGTAGACGTCCCCAGTACAGTCCCTATGGTTACACATGACTATGTTACAGGTCGATGTACAGTGATGTCAACATCCCCAGTACAGTCCCTAGGGACCACACATGACTATGTTACAGGTCGATGTAGAATGATGTAAACATCCCCAGTACAGTCCCTAAGGACCACACATGATTATATGAAAGGTCGATGTACAGTGATGTAAACATCCCCAGTACAGTCCCTAGGGTTACACATAACTATGTTACAGGTCGATGTACAGGGATGTAAAAGTCCCCAGTACAGTCCCTAGGGACCACACATGACTATGTTGCAGGTCGATGTGCAGTGATGTAAACGTCCCCAGTACAGTCCCTAGGGACCACACGTGACTATGTTACAGGTCGATGTACAGTGATGTAAACGTCCCCAGTATAGTCCCTAGGGGTTACACATGACTATGTTACAGGTCGATGTACAGTGATGTAAACGTCCCCCCTACAGTCCCTAGGGGTTACACATGACTATGTTGCAGGTCGATGTACAGTGATGTAAACGTCCCAAGTACAGTCCCTAGGGTTACACATGACTATGTTACAGGTCGATGTACAGTGATGTAAACGTCCCAAGTACAGTCCCTAGGGTTACACATGACTATGTTACAGGTCGATGTACAGGGATGTAAACGTCCCAAGTACAGTCCCTAGGGACCACAGATGACTATGTTACAGTGCGATGTACAGTGATGTAAATGTCCTCAGTACAGTCCCTAGAGTTACACATGACTATGTTACAGGTCGATGTAGAATGATGTAAACGTCCCCAGTACAGTCACTAGGGTTACACATAACTATGTTACAGGTCGATGTACAGTGATGTAAACGTCCCCAGCACGAGCGCGCATGCGTCAGAACAGCAAGTCGCTGAAAAGTCTTCTCCACCAGAATCATCTTATACCTGTATCATTATCAGATATTGTGACGCAAAAGTCATGTAAGGTGATTATGATGATACCTACAATGGACTCATGTTAGTGAATCATGAAGATGATTTTGGGTTTTGCTTAAAATCAAGTGTCCAAAATTTGTAGAAATGTGAAGGAGAATCTACACAAGTGGACCAGTGCTGATTGACTGAGCGTCCGATTAATCAACAAACAATGAGCAGCCCAAGCAGAGTCAGTGAAGCATTGAGTAGCTCTGTCAGCGAGGAAGATGACCTTCGATACGCTACACAAAGTGTGGATGATACATACAATGACATTTTCAATGAAATACACAGACGCCTTGGACAACTCGATCGAATTTCTTTTGAAACTGAAGTTTTGGACATATACAATAATGATGAAGAAAAACTAAACGAAGTGAGACAAAGTCTTTATGACGTAGCCAAGGATACTCGACACGATACCCCAAATGGATATCTACCAAAACGTGTACAAAGAGAACATTCCAGGAAGTCTGTAATTGAGAAATATGCGTCTGATTTATATTGCCTATATGGTTTTATTACACAGACAATCCCCTCTCATATACTGGAAAAACTTGTACTCAGCAAAGGCAAATCAAACGCACGTCCCACCAGCGTACCAGGAGATAGTTTACTGGATACACAAAGAGGTAATGATCTTTTGACCCTAATCTATGCAAAAATGATGGAATTGCGGGATTCTGCGAGCGAACATAATGCCAGTCTGGACAGAAGAATTGAAGAACTACACAACAAATTCGACACTGAACTCAGGAATATGAAGCGGACCATCGAAGAGAAGAACAGCGACCTAATAACAGCGTCAAGGGAGATAGAAAGGTCTAAAAACGTAGAGCTCAAGCTACGTGGAGACGATGGATACTAGTCTCTCAACTACGTGAGAAAGATTCACGGATACACCACCTTGAAAGTGATCTGAAAGACAATATTAGTAACCTAACGCGAAAAACCAATGCTATAGACGGCAAAATAGACATAGTAAACACTCGCAACAACCTTATGTACTCTGAGGCAGTTAGAAGCCCCCCGCTGCTCAGAACTGTGAGCTCCAGCGCACAACCAGGACATGAGGCTGACAGTGTTCTGACCAGAACAGCAGAGACCAACAAAACAAAAACTCCAAGTGTTGTTGACATTACTATTAACCACGAGAGGAATACTATTGGAGACAACACCGAGAACGACGAGGGCGGCGACAGTGACACTATATGTACAAGTCCTACTCAACATGACAGAGTCAGCGATGACCATATCAGGGATGTTGGATATGATGACGTTAGCCATAAACAACACGAAGACAATGCTCAGAGATCTGTGAGATTCGACAGTGAATGGTCCAGAGCTTTTAGAGGTGTTTTACCAAAATTTAAAACAAAAAGGTTTGTGCAATCGTATGTTAGAGCGGATAAACCACTAAAGACAGTGCAAGATGCCATATGTGAATATGCTAAACAACGTGGCGTCCATGTGAGTTACGTTCGTTTGCTGAGGCACTGGGAAGGCTACAATCCCACCTACACACTGAGAGTGAACATTGACAGTAGGACAGCAGAACAAGTTAGTGAGAATGAAGATTTCTGGCCGCCAAATGTAAGATGTCAGGAATAGATACCACAGTCACACAGAAACAGCAATGGTGCACGCTAACTCGTCTAACATGATAGCATTGAACACTTGCCTAATACTTATTACCATGCTAAGTATAGGAACATGGAATGTAAGAGGTGTACTGTATTGTCGACAGTACTTAGAGAAACTAGCGAGTGACTGTGATGCCCTTGCAGTGTGTGAACACTGGTTGAACGATAGAACGCAGAGCTGGTTTGACTGTCTAAATGATAAGTTTGACGTCGCGGCTAAGGTTAAGGCTAACCAGCGAGGATGTAGAGGGGAAGGCGGTGTGGCAATTTTAGTTAAGAAAAATATGTCCAGGTACACTGATATGTGAATGTGAGTATGATAGTGTTGTAGCTGTGAGACTCTCCCGTCCCCAGTGTGCTGATATGTATGTAGTGTGTGCTTTGCTCCCCTCCACTAATCACAACACAGCAGTGTATGAGGAGAGTGTCAAGGAAGTGTTCGACGTGGTTGATGAGCTATCAGAAAGCAGTTATGTTGTTCTTTGTGGAGATTTTAATACAGATCTTGTAAATTACCCAGCATCCCCTCGCTCCACTGTACTGCAGTCATACTTGGATACAAGAAACATGATACCATCATACAACTGTGGTGTTACTCTAGGTCATCTCAAGACATGGTGCAACAAGGCTGGAACACAGTCATCTCTGATTGATTATATTTTCTTGCCAGATGCTCTTCAATCATCTGTGCTGACGACCTCTGTCAATAACAACATCGATTTCGAGATATCGGATCATTCACCATTAGTGGTATCATTTCCTAGCGATGCGTTCTTAACAGAGCAAAAGCTATGGACTCCCCCAACTTACAAATGGCAGAAGGCGAATGGCCTTGAACTGGAGATGTACTCATCTGAAGTTAACAAAATACTTGGTGACATCCTTCCAGACGTGACACATTCTGACAGCGATATAGTGGAATATTACTTTGATGCTATAGTGAGCTCTCTCCACACGTCAAAAGCAATGTACATCCCAACAGGACACTACAGACCATACCTTCGACCCTATTGGAGAGGATCTAGTCTAGACTACTACCACTACCAGATGTGTCATGCTAGACGACAATGGATATCTCAAGGTAAACCTAGAGGAGATGCACATGGCTCTTATAAACAGTATAAAGCAGCT